ATTTGTATTCTTTATTTAACAACAAAATTGATTTATTTATATTAAATTGACTTCAAAATTGAAAATTTTATTTATTTATTATTTTATTTTATTAAATTAAATATATTATTATCCATAAATTTCAACTTATTTTAAGTAAATCATTTTTCCTAAAAACTATTAATTAAAAAATTTACCTTTTGCAAATTCATTTTCTCTTATACAATAATTTTGCTTTTGCAAGCCCCTACAACGTAGGGGCCCCTCCTTTAGCTTTATAGTTAAAATGGAAATTTGGATGTAAATGTACATTGCACACCTGCTCCTTATTAATAGGAAACTTGTTTTGTCAGTATGCGTGGTTGGTTTGTTAAAGATGAACTTAAGAATTTATATCTTCACTATATATAAAGTGTGGATGAAAGTGAAAGTTTTTTAGACTAAAATTATCCTTTATTTCTTTGTCTAAGAAATGGTAAAAAAGTCATTTTATTATAATTTTAATGCCACTTTAATGGTTATTAAAATGTTCATATTTGTGTATTTAGTCCATCTCTAATTGTAAGGGTTGAAAATAAATTCAATTATTACTTTCCACCTCATTTAATCCCTTTCCACTCATTAACTCTTATACTTAAGGCATTAATTCCCATGTTCTCTTATCAAATCTTATATTTAAATTATTTATTTACTAATAAATGCTACTAATTAGATATACCTCAATATTTTAAAAAATATAAACCTATATATTTTAAAACTGACTCAAAAATAAAACCAATCTTTATCCAAGTGGTGGCTAAGCAATTCAACCATCAAAATCAAATTAACCAATTTGTGAAGTCATATTTAGGGTAATGAAAATTTTAAAATAAAAATAAATATATAAAATTATAAAAATGTATAAAAAAGCAGATACATTTATGATATTTTATTAATCAAATTAAAAAATAACTATAATAAACAAGAATTATTTTTATTGATGATGAAAACGATATATATAATTTAGAACTGACCAAAAATGAAATTACTTTACTATTTGGCAAAGATCAATAGTTCAATTTTTGGGTCAAATGTGTTAACCTTTAATGCCATAAATAAATAATAAAATATAAAAATACAAAAATGAAAAAAAAACATGCAGGCACATATATAATATCATATATTTATCATATTAAACAAAAAACAAGTGTGCATGGCATATCAGAATTATTTTTATACATAGAAATACAAAAAAAATATAAAAAGTTGAACACATCTATAATTCTGTATTTACACTACTATTAAAAATATGAATAAAATTGTGGGACTTTATTTTCACTACAAGACTCTTTTTTTAATTTAGTCCCTATTTAATTGCGAGGTTTAAATTGTAAATTGAACTATTACTTTTTATCTCATTCAATTCTCTCTATTTAAATCTTACATTTTTTTGATAAATTAATAAAAAAAGATACATAATAAAGATAAAACATTACAAAAAGAAGAGTCTAGCCAAGTAGGTAGGCTTGTCAATGATACTTGAAACTTCACAACTCAATCCAATTATCACATATTTGGATGAGGTGTTTATGTAATCAAATTTTGTTAGCAATCTGCATCCGATTAATAATTAAAAACAAAAAAGTAAAAATACATAAAGTTTATAAAAAATTTTGTATACATTATTACTATCATTATCATCTAAAATTGTCACATGCAAAACACGTATACACTTACTAGAATGGTGCTTCAAATTCGAAAGCATTGCACTCATCTACATGATGAAAAGAATCTTTATTGGTTTTTAAATTCTTTCCATTCAGCTTTGCACTTGTCTTGAACCTGGATGTCATCAGAATACATAACTTGATGAATCAATTTTTTGTGCTAAGTACCTCGTCATTCGGTCTGCTTCCAAGTGGCCAATGACTCAGAAGCTGAAGTAGAGAACTTTTGCTGGATGAGGACCTGGATGCCAAGCTAACTAGGCCGAGCTGGAGGCAGATCAGGTGCCGAGCTGGGGGCAGATTAGGTGCTGAGCTAACTAGGCCGAGCTAGAGGCAGATTAGGTGTTGAGCTGACCAGGCCGAGTTGGGGGCAGATTAGGTGCCGAGCTAACCAAGCCAAGCTGGGGGTAGATTAGGTGCTGAGCTGGAGGCAAATTAGGTGCCAAGCTGGAGGCAAATTAGGTGTTGAGCTGGGGGCAGATTAGGTGCCGAGCTGGAGAGGTGACTTTGATGCCTGCCTGAATGGTGACGAGCTGGATTGATTGTTGAGTTATGTAGTTGAAACCTGCAAGGAATTAGTGTCAGAGGATCTGGGGTGACTAACCCGACGAGGTCGCTCTAATGCTTAAGTCAGTAAACTAGTAGTAAATCGCGAGCTAAAAAATCATAAAGTGTGAGAGCTAGAATGTGCTTACTTGCCCCCTTGCGTTATTGGGGTTGGTGCCTTTATATAGGCCTTGTTTGATGTGGGCCTCATGTACCGCATCCGAGATTTCCGGGAGGACGTGCCTAACCGATCTGAGATCCTCGGAGGCAACCGCCATGCACGTTGACCATCCTCTGAAACGTTCGGTACATGGGCCAACTTCCAAAGATCGTGGGAGTGTTGGGATATGCATGCCGAATTTGTCGGCGAGCACGTCTCGCAGGTCGCCACTTGGACCTCAGTCAGGCCGGCACGCCCTTGAGGGAGGTCGCTCCTTGTGTTGAGGTTACTTCGGCTAGTGACGAGGTGCTGCAGGTCGGCCCTAGATGAGGTGCTTCTAGCCGACCTGAGTTGTGGTCGAGGTCGCTAGGTCGGCATAAAGGCAGGTCGCCAGGTCGCTAGGTCGGCGTCAGTGCCAAGTCGCCAACTGAGACACCATCATCTTGGCTAAGGCAAGTTGTTGCCTAAGTGATTCCGGGTGTCACCCAGTTGTTCCGAGATGCCATGTGTCACAATGTCATTGGAGGGCCAAATCCGCCCTCATCAATTGTCCCCCACTCCCGAGCTGAAAGTAACTCGGCGAAGAGAGTAGATTGCTCCTTTCGGCCTGGAACGACTAATTCAATGAGCTCGTAAGCGTCGATTCAATTTGCTTCTCAGGTCGGAAGAGTCCAAGTGTTTGCAGCCTTGTGCAGGACCTCGCCATCTTTATTTTCAGGGCCCGAGAGAGAATTCATCTGCTAAAGGAGAGGTGGAGCAGGTACCCCGAGGACATCTACCTTATTAGGGATGTGACCATCAAGAGGTTCTGCGATCCTGCTAAGTACCTTAAGAGTGAAGCTCATCATGCCATCCTTAAGAGGGGATTCTGTATGACTGCTTTATTTGGTCGCTCCACCTAGGTAGACTTCGATGCAGCGTCCTTCGAGCTGGTCCCGGCCAGTGAGTTTGATGCGGAGCCTGCAACCGAGGTGGAGGTCGGCTATGAAGAAATCAAGTTTGCATCCATCATGGTGCTGAGAGCGAACTAGTCTTTCCTTTGTTTTCTCGTGCTGAATGCAAACTACTTTATATTTCGCCCATGCCAAAGAGGTGACTGGGTCTCACGTGGTGTCGAGGTCTTTTATCAGCTTGGCACCTTAGCCCTTAGGCTCTGGGAGTGGCTCGCAGTCCACTCTCCTTACCCTTGATTTTGCCCATGCCGAAGAGGCGACTGGGTCTTATGTGGTGCCAAGGTCTTTTACCAGCTCGACACTTTAAAGCTACGGTTGTGCTGCATCAGCATCGTTAGCGACGTCGGTCACCCACTCCTACAAGAAGCTATTGGGAGCTCGACCTACGGGGGCAGCACTACTGACTTTAGGTCACTAGCTCACACGGGAGTTTTGGAAGGCTCGACTAGCAAGGACGTCCATGCAGTTCGTTGGCCGCCAACTCCCACGGAAGCCACGAAGAGCTCATCTTGTAGAGGGTACCTCGCGAGGAGGACTGATGAGGCTTTATCCGAGTTGAAATAAAGTCGGCAGAGGTGCTTAGTCTGTTGGCCATCAACTTCCTGTGGGAACCATGATTGGCTCAACCTAAGAGGACAGCCATACACCGAGGTGCCTGTCGCCGGACTGCTAGTTGTCAAGGTCATTCTGTTGCTACCTGTTCTGCGTCGAAATGAATACGTCGAGCTGGGTGTTGATGCTGCTCAAAGGTGCCTTTGAGTTCATAAAAGATGGAAATTAGAAAGGGAGAGCTTTAGTTTCTAAAAGGTGAGAACTTAGCTTTCTGGAAGAAGAGGACTTAGCCTTTTAGAAGACGAGAACTTAGCTTCTTGTAGCGTTTCCCACAGATGACGCCAATTGATGAATCAATTTTTTGTGCTAAGTACCTCGTCATTCGGTCTGCTTCCAAGTGGCTGATGACTCAGAGGCCGAAGTAGAGAACTTTTGCAAGATGAGGACCTAGATGCCGAGCTGGAGGCATATCAGGTGCCGAGCTGGGAGCATATTAGGTGCCGAGCTGGGGGCAGATTAGGTGCTGAGCTGACCGGTGCCGAGCTGGAGAGGTGACTCTGATGCCTTTCTGAATGGTGACGAGCTGGATTGATTGTTGAGCTATGTAGTTGAAACCTGCAAGGAATCAATGTCAGAGGACCCGGGGTGACTAACCTGGCAAGGTTGCTCCGATGCTTAAGTCAGTAAACTAGTAGTAAATCATGAGCTAAAAAATCATAAAGTATGAGAGGTAGAATGTGCTTACTTGCCCCCTTGCGTCATTGGGGTTGGTGCCTTTATATAGGCCTTGTTTGATGTGGGCCTCATGTACCGCATCCGAGATTTCCGGGAGGTCGTGCCTAACCAGTCCGAGATCCTCGGAGGCAACCGCCATGCACGTTGACCATCCTCCGAAACGTTCAGTACGTGGGCCAACTTTCAGATCGTGGGAGTGTTGGGATATGCATGCCGAATTTGTCGGCGAGCACGTCTCGCAGGTCGCCACCTGGACCTCAGTCAGGCCAGCACGCCCTCGAGGGAGGTCACTCCTTGCGTTGAGGTTACTTCGGCCAGTGACGAGGTGTTGCAGGTCGATCCTGGACGAGGTGCTTCTAGCCGACTTGAGTTGTGGTCGAGGTCGCTAGTTGACACACCATCATCTTGGCTAAGGCAAGTTGTTGCTTAAGTGGTTATGGGTGTCACCCAGTTGTTTTGAGATGCCATGTGTCACAATGTCATTGGAGGGCCAAATCCGCCCTCATCATAATTGTATTTTATCTTTACTAACCATAATATAAATACAAGTAACCATCAATCACTATTACTTCCATATTATCTTTAATTTGTTTGTGGAAAATGATAACGGTGACTTCTACTTTTTTCTACGTCTTTACCAAAATATAAAATTTTCTTAATGTCATCACCATTAAGAAATATCATCATAATTAGTTATTAAATAAATTTAAATTTAAAAAAAGAAAGAAAAAGGAGAGAAAGGTCCAATGAAAGTTTTAAAAATCGACTCGAAAAACAGAACAACCGACCACTAGTTTCTAACTCAGTGGTTCAATCATCCAGCCAAAATATATTGGCTTGTTACAATATTAAATATTACAAATAAAAATTAATTAAAATATAAAAGTGATTTAGAATCCATTGTTTAGGCTGAACATTTTAGTGACTTAGGCAATGTTTGGCATTGATGAAAACAACACTACATCGGTGTCACGTTAGAAAAAGTGGTGCTTTAAAAAATGACCTCTTATTTGGCATCGTTTTCAAAAAAAACATTGCTCCAAACCACTCCTTGGAAATCGAGAAAGTATGGTATGAAGAAATGCCAAATTCAATGTTTTCTCAAAAAAAAAAAAAAAACTATTGCTACCAGTGGTGCAATGACATGACATCAATGTAGTATCATCTTGGACATTGGATAATATAGACCAATGCTGAAAATGGTTACACAACACTAGTACCAAGCAAAACCATTGCTCTTTTCCTAGAAAATAGCTTATGTGGCTGCACCGATGCCAAACAAAAAGAAAAGTCATTTTTTGAGAAAATAATGCAACATACCCTCATGCATACAACACCATTTTCTCAGAAAACGTCTCTAAAGCAACGACATTGATGCCACACACCTACTTAACCATCTGGGTCAGTGGTTTGCTGACCAAGTCAACAGTTTTTAGAAAAGTTTAAGTTAGGTGCAAAATAGAACTATTTAAACAACCGATTATTGGTTAAACAATTCGAACACCCAGGCCAATGATAGTTCAAAAACCATGGGTCGAATTTCTCACTCATTTGGTCTTTCCCATAGGCATAGGGACTGCCCTTTCATGGCTTTAGTGCAAAAGAGATCAACACTTTGTTTGGGATAAGTAGATTGCACTCCACCTTAGAAATCTGAAATTACAACCCCCTCCTAGTCTACTAGTAGTCCCCTTATAAACCACATCTTGCCTGTGGATTTGGCATTGATTCACGGTCAGGATTCATCCCACCTGTACGATGGGGCTCAAATTTGTTGAGGTGGACTGAACAATAAAAACCCCTTGTTTTTTTTTTTAATGGGAAGATATCCCCAATGCAAGACTGCAAGGGAGTATCAAGTTCAGACCACAAGGGGGCACCCCACAACGTCCCACAACACATCCCCGCCGTGTATTGGGAACATCTCTCGATGATGATATCATCATTTCTGGTACTATCATCGGGAGATGTTCCCAATACACAGTGGGGATGTACTGTGGGACATTGTGGGGCGTAGATGTGAACTCGGGATTGAGAATATCACTCTTTCTGTCAAGGTATAGTAAATTAGTAAGGTGATCAAACCAAATGCAGCCTCTTATAGCTATGCTTGGTTTGAACCTTTTTTCTTCTTTTTTTTTTTGGTTTCTCTTTTATATTTTATCAAACCAAACACAGTCTTAAAAACTTCCTCAGAAGAAAGCGATGACTCTAGATCTCCTGCCCACGACAACTCTGCCCACATCTACCCACAACACAATACCCCGTGAATTGAGAACATCTCTCCTTGCTTAATACTATGTTGGAGGATGAAATGTTCTCCATGTGTGGCTGTGATGTTATGTAGGTAGACCGTAGCCGTCAACAGAGTTTGTGTGGGCAGGAGATCCGGGCTCAAGTGATATGGGGATTTGAGGATGAAATTGACATAGCATGTCTGAGATGTGCGGCTGTAGATGATGTTGGAAGGCTCTAGAGGTGGCAACAAGCCGAACTTTTCACAAGCTGCTTGAGTTTGGTCGACTCGGTTTCAACCGAACTTGAGCCCAATTCACTGACTCAATTATTAAATGAGCCAAGCTCGAGCCTACTAGAGTTCGAGCCTACTATATATATATATATTGATATTTAATATATATAATAAAATTATAGAAAATAATATATATAATAAAGATATTATAATTATTAATTTTTAAATATAAAAAATATATATATAATTTTTTATTTTATAAAACATTTTTTCTCAAAATCGAACTCAAGATTCTGCCTTGAATCGAATTCGAACCTTGGAGAACAGTCTCGAGCCTCGTACTATTCGGCTCGGCTCGGCTCGGCTCGAATCATCCCTTAATGAAGCTACGTGAGTAGTATATCCGATCTCTAATCAGAGTTAACTCGGAACGACAACTTCCGAGTTTGTCGTGTTTCTGGTTTTGAAACACTGCTTACCTTTTAGGTTTTAACACGAAAGGTGAAGAAGCTCTTCTTCCATGGGAGCAGAAATAGGCCGAATAGAGAGTAGTAGGTGGAGATGGCGAGTTATCTGTGGAGGAAATATGCGGATCACTTGTACTCAAAGTGGGAGAAAACGTTCCTATGGGACATGATTGAACCTTACAGACGCCCCAAATCCTTCACCCCACTCGTCACCATCTATGTCGCTGCGTTCTATACTGGGGTCATTGGAGCTGCAATTACAGAGCAACTCTATAAGGTTTACTTTTTTCCTCTCTCTATTTTTCCCTCTTTGTTATGTTTGGGTTAAATCGAATCTTATTCCTGATGATTATTCCTCGAACTAAAATGTCCATCAGCTTTTATACTTCTTGATGCATGATACACCATTGGTATGTTCTGTATCTGTTCAATTATTTGTATTTCTTTATGATGCTAACATGGAATTCTGCGTTTTCCTAGTGAATTCTGTGAATTCTAGTTAAAATTAAAGCTCAGAAAGTTAGATTGTGCCAAGATCTTCTCGGGAGGATAAAATCATAAAACTTATTTGCCAGGATGGTTTCAAGGTAATAGATTGATAGCTGATCATAGGAAACTGATGACCTTTGATCCTTACGCTGTGTTTGGTTGCAGTGCAAATTTATTTGCACTAGTACAATGCATGGGAGTGCAAATGTAAAAAATGCAAATTCTTGTTTAATTTTGTTTTGGATTTTACTTTATTCTGCTTCGTGACAAAATAAGCTAAAATTTGAAACAAAAATAGGTCAGAATTTACACTCAAATCATTTGCACTGCCATGGTTTTGCATCAGTGCAAATTTATTTGCATTGCAACCAAACACAGCCTAGGCTCAATTTGGAAGGAATACAAACACAAATATGTACAATACAAATACATACAAAATACAAGGTTTTGCACTGTACATATTTGTATTTGTACTCCTTCCAAAACTGAGCCTTAGGAAAACAATTCCGATGTCTTAGGAAATATGTTGTGTTCTTCTTTCCATGAAGTATGGCATTCCAACTATCAACAATGTTTTCATTCTTAAGCCTCTTGGGTTCTTAAATGATGAATGATCATCAATACAACAGCAAGGCCTTGGCTTTCTTTTCTCACTCTTTCTACAGAACCGATCTTATCCTCAAAGTTACAGCTAGATATTTGTTCTGGGTATTATAATATAAAATGGGGGAATCCATCTTATGCAAAATCATCTCCTTGATGTGTAAATGTGGATCTACAACCCTTTGATTTTCAAACTTCTCCAACTCATCTGTGCAGCTCCAGAAAGAATTAGAAATCACACTCCCACACTTTCAGCAAATCTAAAATGCAAGATAAGGTAGCGGTGCTTTCACAGTTTTGCCATCTCCTTTGCAAGGAATGCATTTATTCATCAATATCTTCGTTCTTGGTGTATGTTTTTCTCTTATCCATAAAGCAAAGTGCAATTTTTGAAAGGTTCTTGTCTGAACCAATTGAGTGTGCCAGAAGATGAGCATTCTTTGTGCATTGCCAATGCAAGAGAAGGTAGCGTTGCTGATAGGATGGTTAAAGGGTTTTCTAGAAAATATTGCATCAAGATGTTCTATTAAGAAATATGATGATAATGGGAAATGCCAAATTAGTTTGGGAAGGGCCTCGTGTGAACCAATTGAATGTGCCAGAAGATGAAAGTTCTTGGGGCATAGCCAATATATATATTGCTAGTTTATTTAATTCCTTGCTGATAAGATGGCCAAAGATTTTTCTAGAAAATGTTATATCAATGTGACTTTGGCCGGGTGGGGAGGTGTAGTTTGGGAGTGCTGGCCTCCAAATACTTCTGTAGTGATAATTGCATGTCTTGATAACTAGGTGAGTTAAATTAAAGACATGTTAATAATTTAACAAGTATCCCACTGTTTGTACTACAATTCCTTCTCCAAGAAGGGAAAACCCTTTCAGTATGGTAAATGTTTTGGCACATGGGCAGATTATTGAAATCTATGTATCTTAGAGATCAAACTTATTGGCCCAACATATAATAAGATACATAGGCTAATGATTCGATGCATCTAATAATGGACATCTGTCACACTGATATCCCTTTTCTGAGATGTCAGTAGCTTAATACATATCATTGTTATCTCCATGTTTTCCAGAAAGGTTTTCAAATGTACTTGCAGAAGGTGATACTACTTGCATTAGATTCTGATGCTACTGTTGTTGGTGTGAACAACAGAGAACAAAACACTTTTAATGCATCTTACTCCTCCAAAGTGCAATTGCAGCAAAAGCTGAATGGTGCTGCTGTCTGTAAATTAAACCATGGTTTTCTAATATTTCCTCCTTTTACAGGAGGGATTCTGTAAGGTCAAAATTAAAAATTGGAATGGAGAGCAACTGTATTTTAAGTTCTATATATCAGAGAGGCTAAAGCTTAGCATTCAGAATGAATATCTTTTTCAGATGGCTCAAAGATCTGCCAATTCCTTGGTCAATTTTCTCACACGAGGAGTTTTGAGATCTGATTAATATTTAGGGCCTTTTTTGTGTGGTTAGTTCTTTTAATTGCTTTTGAGATTTTCATCTTAACTTGTTTTGCATTGAGGCATCGTGTATCCAAGGCCTGCTCTTTTATTCTCTTTTGCATGAAAAGCTTGTAGCTTGTATTTCTATTCTTTTCAGCTAATCTAAAGTTTTTGCTTATCAACAAAAACAATACAATGGGACAAATTGTATGGAAGGTTGCTTGCATCAATGTATATACATTGAAATAGAATACAAACTTAACATATACTTGTATTGGAAACTTGAAGATTTCTTTCTTGTATTGAGCAGGAAAAATATTGGGAGGACCACCCAGGAGAAGCAGTGCCTCTCATGAAGCCGAAGTTCTACTATGGGCCCTGGAAAGTACTGAGAGGGGATTTCCTTCCACCCAACCAGTAAATCAGACCCACTCCATCGGGATGGCACCATTGGTTTTTGTCACTTTATGTCATGTTCATACGCAACAAGCTTTTCTAGTACAAGCTAAAAAAAATTTCTGAGAAACACCTTGGAATTAAGTAATCAGGACGTTACATTAGCGTGATAACACCTGTTGCTCTTTCCTTAGAATGAGAAGAAAGTCAGTCTTATGATGTTTGCACTGATAAGAACATTTTTGGGTAATGGGTTTTAGTAATGTTGAATTATAACTTTTCCTCTTATTTAATTTGTAGACATCATTTGATTTATCAAACCGTGATTCATCACATTCAGTTTCATATATACTAGCAACAACCCTAATTAATAGTCCAAATGTCTTTATGAACAAACAAATAGTCAAACATGCCCCTGTATTTCGAAGTTTTATTATCATAAGTTGGGGGGGGGGGGTTAATTTATCTTTTCATTGGTAAAGCGTGTTCTCTATTATTTATCAGAAATTGGGTGTGCCCAAATCAGCACTTATTATATTCCGAGATCCCAACGTCTGCACATGGTTCTCTTATTAGCCATTTAAAATATTGTACCCCTTGGAACAAGGAGCAACCAAATACCAACCAACTTGCCAATAAAATATGTCAGGGCTGCATCTCTGGAAGCAATGCTGATGCAGCTAAGGATGCATTCGAATTTATTAAAAAAAAAAAGGAACATACTTTGAGTAGTTGACCTTCATAAATATGTATTTCTTGTATACAACTCTTTGTTTTATTCTCATACATCCCTGAATTCAACTCATTCTTTTATTATGGTACAACCGTACAACATCAAACCAATGATAAATCAGTGACCTATATACATGAATAATATAGTTATACTTTTCGTGTTTGATCTTTTATTTGCCAATAGAATGCCTAAAATTTGTATTGAATGGTTACAACAGATTAATCCTGTTAGTGCATATGTATACTCTAGCTATCTGGTGATTATGACTATGTGGTGAAAGTTGGTGGTAGAACCATTGACCTCTTTCCTTTGACAGGGGTGTTGGTGTCGGGGAATAAACCACCACCTTCAACAAGATCCAAAACAGAGCCATCACTCAACACAGTCACAGGGTAATTTACCAGATGAACACCTTTCATGTCTATTATCTCGTTTCCACTGTATATATTCCACATCTCCTCTCCTATTGCATTGATTCTCCTTACACAGTCCAAACTATGGGCTTCGAGGAATGATTCTTCGATGCGCCCGGTGTGTTCATACCACAGTGACATGCGATATGCATGTATATCTCCATGAGTTCCATTAGTAACATGTTTGGGCTGGTAGCATCCCATTGCAATTTCTGTGTCTCGCCCTCCATCCATGGATCGTTGGTTCACATTGGCAGAACCTATTATCATATACATATCGTCCACTGAGGAAGAACACAACAACCAACCATTTGCAACTCATCAGATTAGCAAATATACTGCAAAATATAACTACAATGAAAACTAAAGTTATTTACAGCTAAAGATTAATTCTTGTACCTATCATGAATTTGGAATGGACATAAATCATAAACCTCCTTTGCTTCTGGGAATGCCAGTAGTGAGTTGAAGGCTGAGGAGAATATGGAGGCACAAACTCTCCTGAACTCTTCTGCTCTCGATTGGCCAGGCAGAAGAAGTTCAAGTAGTCCTTAGGATGTGCAGACTCACCACTCTCTTGAATGGCTTCTGCAATCAACCTATACATCATTGCCATTGTCTGTCTAGTCCAATGCAGCATATCCTGAACTGATTCACTTTCTGGTATTCCTTCGGGCCACATGGGTATCACAATGTACACGGCAAATCTCTCCTTTGCTTTGATTTTATTCACCACCTTGACTGCAATCTCTACAGGGATCAAGTTACCGCAACCACTGTGTCTATCTGTATCCCACAAATGGCAACTGCCCATAAAATATTGGTTCTCGATGTAAATAAATTTCTCTGCACGCCGAATTGCTTCTACATAGGCTTCATGGATACTCTGCTCCAGTGAAACACCCATTGGCAAAGATGTTGCTGATACATGATCAATGGATCGGAAGACCTGGACTTTCCAGTCTCCAGCAGAGGGTAGGTTCTTATGAGAAGGACGATGAACGATATTCGGAATGGTGCTAATGAGAATGAGCAAAGATGGATCGCACTGTTTAGTCCATCGTTGCTCGAAGTTTGTCAATACATCCCAAGCAGCTTCTCCGGCGATGCAAGCATGAGCATCATGCCAGGGTTCTCTTGGCCCACCTTTGTGAAGACTAGCTCCAGGAATGTTTATTTGATAGAAATCAAGAGCATGTGATTCTTTGTTAAGTGTTCGAAACAAGGAGTGCTCCTCTGTGTCATAGCGCCCGTCGCAAAGATCCAACCCACCAATAAAACTCATGATTTCTCTGTCTCCGCCATTGAAACCGGTATAGATTTCATCGTTGCTCTCATCCTCCTCACTAGCTGAGTCCAGAAAACGCGCTTCGGTGTCCACAGTGATGGTTTTCTGATGGTGGGTAAAGAGCGTAGGGAAGTTATGGTGTAGCCTGGGACACAGTCTGCAGACCACCTTGGAGTGCTTGAAGTAGTCGAAGGCGTCTTCATCATGGGTATTCATCACTCCCCTGTTCTTGATAATTGGTAGGGATGTTTCGTCGTCCCAAATCATGATTCTCACAGCTACCCCTTCCTCTGATTTTCGTTTCAACAATTGTCCAATCTGTACTCCCCTTGCGTGTACGAGTTCAGTTCTGGGGTCTCGGACCTGCTTAATTGAAAGTCCAAGATCATCGAGAGAAAGAGAAGAAAATCTTGAAGAAGCACAGAGTGATGATGAGCGAAAGCTTACCAGCACCATCTTAGGATTGAAGGACCAGCCTGCGATGTATATCAAGTACCTTGCTCCGTCAATGGCCTTGTATACATCCTCCCACAGCCTCCTTGGCCCCCCGGGAAGACAGACTGGAGGCTCAAAGGTGGGGCAATGGTGAGCATCTTGATAGAGCATGACGCTGCAGTTGGAGCGTAGAGGAAATGTAGCGTTTTTAACTCCCTGAAATTCATTGTGACTGAGAACCCTGCGCCAACTGGGTACATGTTCTGCGTGCTTAAACCATAGTATGAAACGCAGTTTGAGCTCCAGATTTGGCTTTCCCTTCTCTGTGAGGAGAGGAAAGAAACCATCTATCAGAGTTTCGTCATCTAAGATCCTCTTGGTTGGGATGTGTATCTTTCCCAAGACAGAGAGCTTTGTATGCAGTGTAATGGTGATGGTCGAATCAGATGGATAAGCACAGAGGATCTGGAAGCTTTGGTTCCACACACGGTCAAATTGGTGGCTTGTCTCTGCTACTTTCTTATTGTCAATTTCAATGGTCACGTAGCTTTGCTTTTCTCCTCCCAATATGCACTGACCCAGAATTATTTAAAAAAAAAAAAAAAGAAGAAGAAAAGAAGCAATAGTTCAGTGAAAGTCAGGAACTATTTACTGGTTAAAGCTTAATTATGGTTGGTGCAATGCAATACTTACATCGAGTAAGGAAGGTTTGTAAGGAGTTGCATGGAAGATGGTAGCTTCAAGCGTTCCATGGAGGAACCTGCAGCTCTTCTTTCCCTCCATGGGAGATGGTAGCTAGCTCCAAATTCTTGTCTGAAGAGGGCAACAGTTTCTTCTGATAGGCATGAATGTTTGGGGAGTGTTACAGATAGATGTTAGTTTTTATATTAGAAACAGAAGCAACAGCCATTGTTATCAGAAACTTGGAATGTAATAGAAGAAGAAGAAGAGGTCAGCGGTTGGAAGAAAAATTGGGTATGCCTGGAGATGTTTATGTCTTAGGGGCAACGTTCAAGTGCGTCATAAGCTAAAACGAGCTTGTTATTTCTTCAAGTTGAAGTCGGTATGACAAACAAATGCTGTGTGAAGTCTCTGGTTTTCTGACAAGGCAAGTTCCGATTTCCGATTACTTGTACAGGCAAACGGAATTTTTGTAGTTGTTTGTAGTACCCGGCCACCCGCCAGTCATTCTTGGACCGGACCCGTGCTTTGGTTGTGAAGTTGGACCAACGACCCGGCCCATTGGACCTATTATCTTGCAGTATTCTCTCTGTACGCAAAGATGAAGGGCCACAGCACGTAATTGGGAATAGAAAGATGTGAATCTGTGATTTTGATTGTCTTGTCCGCCACCCCTAGGCGAGTTCTAAGAAAGTGCTGCTCCAGCCTCCAACTTCAAGGTTCCTCCAAAGTGGTGTAGCAAATCCCAGTTCCCAACATATCCGGAGCCACGTTACACAGACTCGGGATCTGCTACCCACAAATTACACAGACTCGGGATCACCACCACCGTATTTTGGGAACATCTTATCATAAATGACAAGGGAAATATTCTCAATTACCAGTTATCGTGTCTCGTGGGTAGAGACGTGGAACATCTTATGGGTAGCAGATCCGAGCTCTGTTACACAACCATAAATCTCAATCATCTAACTTTTCCTTTAATATTTCTCTAAACCGTCCAAGGCATTCGATTTTTGGATTTTGAGACAGGAAAGTTGGTCAATGGATATCACTTACGTGGGGGAAAGTTATCAACATTTTAACTGGACAAAAATGCTCTTTTTAATAATGGATTTTTATGAATGAAATGTTCATTGACTTATTGGGAAATAAAAGAAAATAAGTAGATGCACTTACCTAGTAAACAACTTACCAAAAAGTGAACAGGGCCTTAACGTGAAATCCACTACACAAACTGTTGTAGCCTAGGTTACAACAATGACATCACGGCTTTAGTTATAACTCCACTTTAACGTCACCTCATCTAGGGGTGAATAAGAAAAACTGAAAAACCGAATCGAACTAAAAAATCGATTGAAACCGAACTAAAAATCTGATTAACGAAATTGATCGGTTTGGTTTCAATTAACCAATATAACAAAATAGTGATTAATCAAGCTGACCGGTATACATATATTTCTATATATTTTATGTATATTTTATATTTTCTATATGTTACAAATTAATAAATATGCATTATAAATATATATTTATAATATATAATATATTATTTATTATTTAAAATATAATATTATATATATTTCTAACTTTTTATTATGTATTTATATATTTTTTATAATATATATTATAAATATAAAAACCAAAAAAACCAACGAATCGAACTAATGATTAACCAAATTGGTCAATTAATTAACCGATGTCTTAGATTCGATTTCAACTACCGATTTTTCAGAAACCGATAATATCAATTTGATTTAAAAAATAAGTCCACAATTTGATTAACCGAATCATAAGCACCCCTTCTTCACCCAATTCAAGATGTGACCACGGTAATTGATGAGGGTGGATTTGGCCCTCCAATGACATTATGACACCTGGCACCTCATGACAACTAAGTGCTAACTACACCAGGCGGCTCGCCACTTACAGGCAGCTCGTCACCATGTAGCACTCATAGGCAGCTCGCCACCGTGCAGCACTTACAGGTAGCTCGCCACCATGCAGCCTAGCACCTTACAGACAGCTCACCACCAAGCAGCTCGACCACCACATGATAATTCCAAGGAGCTCACCACCGTACCTCGCATTTTACGGGATTATGACTTGTAACGGCTATACCAGCTCACCCACTCCCCGATTCAGGTGGGAATGAGCAACCTCACCAGTTGGTGGCTTTATCCCCACCTAACACGAAAACAGGTCCCATCACAGCGGGAATCCGGAAACTGCTCCACCAAACCCATAAGGACTCTAGTATATAAAGGCTTCACCCCCCAGGGGCGAAAGGAGAAAAAAGGAGGAAAAATGAGAAAAAGAAAAGGGTGCTCTCTAGCTCTCTAGTTCTCTCATTCTCTAATATCATCTTCAAGCTCTCTATTGTGTGCTAACTTAGTCATTGTGTCCCCGCTGGGTAAGCCCCCCCGGGTTCTCTGATTCAGTTCTTGGAGGCAACCAGTTCCTGCCGTCTACAAAGATGAGCAGATCATCTCCTACAGGGAGCAGCCGGGTTGCACTACACTAGGGAGCTCCACTTCAGCCCCTGAGTCATCGGCCACCTGGGAGAAGACGGGATGACGAGGTACTTAGTCAAAAAAATGATACGTGACCCGAAACCATCACATCAATTGGCACTATCTGTGGGAATACGCTACAAAAAGCTAAGTTCTCATCCTACAAAAAGCTAAGTCCTCTTCTCCCATAAAGCTAAATCCTCACTTTTTAGAAACTGAAGCTCTCACTTTATAGTTTCCATTTTTTATGAACTCAAAGACTATGCAGGGAGCTAACAAACTAAGTAGCTCTAAGGCGCCCACCCGGCGGCCTGTGCGCGGTTTGGCGGCCTATGCGCGGCCTGGGCACGGCCTGGTGGCCTGGCAGCTTGGCGCACGCGCTGACTTAGTGCGACCTGGCGGTCTGGCCCAAGCACGAACTGATGAACTGATAAAAGACTTCCTCATCACTTAAGACCCAGTCGCCTCTTCGGCATGGGCAAAATCAAAGGTCAAGGAGAGTGGACTACGAGTCGCTCCCAAAGCCTAAGGGTTAGGGTGCCAAACTGGCAAAGATTTCGACACCACATAAGACCCAGTTGCCTCTTCGGCATGGGCAAGATTAAGGAGAGTGGACTACAAGTCGCTCCCAGAGCCTGAGGGCTAAAGTACCGAACTGGCAGAGACCTCGACACCTGGTCAGCTCGACACCTCACAGGCAGCTCGGGCACCTGGTCAGCCAGGCACCTCACAGGCAGCTCGACACCTGGTTAGCCCGGCACCTCACAGGCAGCTCGGCACCTGGTCAGCTCGACACCTCACAGGCAGCTCAACACCTCACAGGCAGCTCAGCACCTGGTCAGCCCGGCACCTCACAGGCAGTTTGACACCTCACAAGTCCTAGTTGCCTCCTTGGCATGGGCACTTAAGACACAATCGCCTCTTCGTCATGGACAAAATCAACAACAGTGGACTATAAGTTGCTCCTAGAACCTAAGGGCTAAAGTACCGAACTGGCAGAGACCTCGACACCACTTAAGAAACAATCGCCTCTTCGGCGTGGGCAAAATCCAGGAGTGGACTGTGAGTCGCTCCCAAAGCATAAGAAACTGAATCGACGCTTACGAGCTCGTTGAATTACGAGCCAAAGGGAGAAATCTACTCCCTTCGCCGAGTTATCTTCAGCTCGGGAGTGGGGAGCAAATGATGAGGGCGGATTTGGTCCTCCAATGACATTATGACACCTGACACCTCATGACAACTAAGTGCTAACTACACCAGACAGCTCGCCACCCAAACAACTTAGCACTTACAGGCAACTCGTCACCATGCAGCACTCGCAGGCAGTAGGCAGCTCGCTACCATGCAGCACTCGCAGGCAGCTCGCCACCATGCAACACTTACAAGCAACTCGCCACCATGCAACTTGGCACCTTACAGACAGCTCGCCACCAAGCAGCTTGGCTCCTCACAGGCAGCTCGACCACCGCATGATAATTCCAAGGAGCTCACTACCGTACCCCACATTTTATGGGATTATGACTTGTAACGGCTATATTAGCTCACCCACTCCCCGATTCAGGCGGGAATGGGCAACCTCACCAGTTGGTGGCTTTATCCCCACCTAACACGAAAATAGGTCCCATCACAGCGGGAATCCGGGAACTGTTCCACCAAACCCACAAGGACTCCAATATATAAAGGCTTCACCCCCCAGGGGCGAAAGGAGGAAAAAAGGAGGAAAAATGAGAAAAAGAAAAGGGTGCTCTTTAGCTCTCTAGCTCTCTCATTCTCTAAAATCATCTTCAAGTTCTCTACTGTGTGCTAACTTAGCCATCGAAGTGTCCCTGCCGGGTAAGCCACCCCGGGTTCTCTGATTCAGTTCTTGCAAGCAACCAGTTCCCGCCGTCTACAAAGATGAGTAGATCATCTCCTACAGGGAGCAGCCGAGTTGCACTATACTAGGGAGCTCCACTTCAGCCCATGAATCATCGGCCACCTGGAAACAGACGGGATGACGAGGTAATTAGCCAAAAAAATGATACGTGACCCGAAACCGTCACATCAGTAATACTAATGCATCGAGAATTTACCATTCACGAATCGGTTTTATTAGCCCAAGGCTACGCCAACGGGCGTATCAGATTTTTCATTTTTCTCACATTTCACCATATCCATGTCTACGTGGGGGAGTGCTATCAACATTACGAGTCGTACAACTGTTGAGTTCAGAGTTCCCCAACTTCAACAGTACACTGTTGCATGTCTACCACATGTTCACCTCCAATTTCAACGGTATAAACTGTTTTTTCAATTTCTCCGCGGAAAACCGCCACAAAGGATAACCCAAAATCCTTCTGTCTCTCTCCCTTCTCCAATACTCTCTTTCTCTCTCTTTCTCTCGACACAACAACACAACAACTTGACAGTCTACTGAGGACGGTGACTCGAATTTTGCCGAGTCAAACTCGGAATAAAGAAAACCCCAAAATACCTTTCTCCCTCCTCATATTATCTGCAATCACGAGGTCCTCTCAGCTTGTCTTGCGCTCCGTTTCCTTCGGTTCTGCAATTCGTGTTCGGCGAATGGCCACTGCGTCTTCCTCTCCCCCTGCGGTCTCAGGTGGTTCGGCTGCTACTGATTCTGAAACCCTACGCAAAAATCAAATTCTTTCGAGCAAGCTCTACTTTGATGTGCCCCTCACTAAGGTAATTCCGTTCTGGAGAAAACATTATTTTATTTGATTTACATCTACGACTATCTGATTTCTTTTTTTTTTTAATTTCTTTGTAATTGGTCAGGTTCCTGTTATTTACTCGTCCTCCTATGACATCGCATTTCTTGGAATCGAGAAGCTGTAAGCAGGATTTTTGTTTCTTTCTTTGTTTTAACTTTAAATGTTGAAATTGCTTTTCTATTGCTCTGTATACGTTTCTGATTGATATTTGTCTGTCTATTCTTAAATTAACTAGGTGTTCTCAAGTAGTGTTTTACTAAATAGAGGAATGTTCGCTTAGAAATTATAGGTTAGCTAAAGACGACAGCCCTAGTCCATGTCTCTTGCTGTTGATGTTGCGGTTTTATGACTTTATCCTTGGCCTTTGGCCTGTTTTCTCCCACTAAACTTAATTACTTACTAATACTAACCCTGTTGTCAAATAAAAAGTACAAAGAAGGTCCTGACTTGCTCAGCTGGTAAAGTCAGTTGATGTAGTTCCTACCGACATGTGATGGAATTCCAACGTCACCCTCCTGACCCTACCCCCAAATTTGCGTAGCAAAAACAAAAATAAAGACAAAATAATATAGAAAACAAGCTAACATAGTGAATTGAAAACAAAATGAGAAGGAACTTGTGGAGTTCATGTCGAATTGGTCATGGACCTCCCCAACTACCTTTCGTCCACTCTCTGTAAGAAAAAATTCCCGTACAATTTTCCCTAATGAGTTATAGAGGTTGTTTGAATAGTGGTGTTATGGGTTGCACACATACATATGGCTATAAACCTCTATGTTGTATACTGGACAAATACATGGATAAAGTGACTCAATCCAATTTAACAATAATGCTATAAGAACACAAGATGAATGCATGAATTGATCTTGAATTCTTGATGCTTGGTTGAGTAAAATCATGTCTCATGATAAAATTGTTACCATCATCATGTTTAACTATAATATATATACAAAAGTAGGAAAGGAAAGTAGAATACACTGGCACATGGTCAAGATGTCACTCTCTTACTATTTTTTTTGTTGCTTAACTCATGCTTGCAATTTGTGCAATCTTAATAGTTCTATTTCAACTTCAGAATCTTATTAATATGCTTCAAGATCATATGCACTGAACAGATTATTTTTTTGAAAGAAAGCATCTTTTATTTGGGCTCCTAACTCCTAAGTTTTTTAATACCTGGCTGTTTACCCCATGTAATGTTTTTTCAGCAGAACTACAATGTCAACTGATTCATTTACCCATTTGTTGTATTTTCCAATAATTGGCAATAAAAATATCTCTTTAGGCTGTTAAATTGTATCTGCTTTCATTGCTCATTTATGTCTTAGGATTCTTACCACTATTTTTGTAGGCACCCTTTTGATTCTTCAAAATGGGGTCGAGTACGTGGATTTCTCATAAGAGATGGTGTTCTGGACAAAAAACGAACAGTTGAGCCTGTAGAAGCTTCAAAAGACGATCTGCTAGTGGTAGAAACTAGAAACTGCATTTTCTAGGGTCTCTACTGTTTGCATCCTTTCCATTTTTGTTCTCCCAAAATATTAAAAGATGCACTTTTTTTTTTCTGGAATGCATTATTTATAACCAATGTCTAATATTTGCATTTATGACAAATTTCAATGACCTGCTTTCTTCTTACTAATTCCACTCTAGAAATAATACTTCTTGCTATAACTATTTCACAAAAACTTGCCTACTTGCATGTCTTGGGAAAGATTCTTTGATGTCCAATTCTTTTTTATTCATCTGATATTCTTTTCTTTTTCTGGAAAAGGAAACTGAGTTGCATTGAGTAAAAAAACACTTGAAGTATATATAGTAATGTAGAATATGCAGAGAACTCTGCTACACAAAGAAGACAATGTTCAAGCCCAAGCTAGATAAATTATTCATAAATGAGTTAAGTTCCATTTGAATCCACCTAATCTGAACCAGAATTTAAAGAATCTCCCTTCTTTTGCTCAGATGGTGAGCAAGTTTCTATGAGCCTCACCAATATCCTTTTTTATCTATGAGTATAATTGTAAACTCAGTACAACTTTTTCACTCCTAAGCATTGGGATGGCTCCATAAGCTTTAACATAAATGGTATGTGGCAGATATAGGAAAAAAGAACTTACATTTTTTTTTTCTTTTCAAACTTAACTATGCTATTTATTTTGGACACTAGTTTATTGATTGGCCAAAAGAAATGACAATTTTGGAATTGCAAATGATTATTTATTTTCAGAAAGTGTCAGTTAACTTTAGATTGTGGCATCTATTTCAATTAAAAAGGAACCCTAGACCCAGATCTCCAAGAAAATGTATATTGATGTTGTTGGTTTTGTTGCTAGATTTCTGTCAATTCATAGAAGGAAAAATAAACAAATGTTAAATAAATAATCGAATAAATATTGTTGGGATTGGTCTATATATATAACCTGTAAATAGATAGAATATTGAAAAGACGTTGTATTATATCCTTTTTTGATAACAAATATTATGTCCTCATATCCTAGTAAAATAACTCCACTGAAAGAAATTCCACCAGTGAAATACAAATCAGACTAGTTTATAACTATGTGCTACTTCTAGCAAAAATGGCTTTTTTTTTTCAGGGAGAAGCAGAATGTAATGAGCTTTCCTCTAAAACATCTGTCCATCTAAGTCCTAAAATCATTTATCTTTTTACAGTGAAACAAAGTAAAAATTTCTTGACAACAAATCTTTTCTTTTCCCATGTGGCTCCTTTCAAACACCACCTGTTAGTCTCATGTGGTGACCTCCAAAAACCTGTGTAGGAATGTGTTCACAAAGTATATTTATTATACTATACCTACTTATACATGATTTCATTCATTTCAGTGTGCTTTACAGTAAAAAATGTCCTTAGAATATGCTGATATACATGAAGAGTTATATCAATAGAAAAAAACAAAAAGAGTCCAAAGAAAGGTATATATGATAGGTTTTGTCTAGAAGCCTTGGCTTGTGATGGACACATGTCCTTGTCAAAAAGGTCTTGACCAATGCCTCGGATTCTATCTCTAATCTCCATGACCCTTCATCCTAGGGTTGCAAATTGGGTCAGGTTGGGTTGGGAATTTGTTAAAATTTCAATGGACCCGAACCCTTCCAAGCCCAATGTAGTTGAAATTCTTCAAGCCGAGCAACCCGACCTGCATCCCCACTTCTTCCTCACTTCCCTTGTAAGCACTGTTTGCATAAATGTGCTTGGAGAGTTTATGGATATGAATACAATAAGCTCGTTAATTGATGAACCATATTCAGAGTTTCTACCTATTTAATATTCCAATTATCTCATTTGTGACTCTTAAAATTGTATTTCAATGTATGGGGTGCATTGTTTGACGGCTTCATGTATTTAGGTGTTGATGTATCAGTCCCAATCATTGTCCAGATTACTTCATAGATTTAGTGATGGTATGGTGCTAAACAGCAGGAACTTTTTTGAGTGTGTTGCTTCTGACCAGATTCTCTTTGGTCCACTGGATTCATGTGAAATTGATTTAGTCCACAGGAATTCTTACATCCATACAGAAATACATGCTTGTGTGCACATGCGATAATGTATGTAGCATTACTGTTTTGTTAGTCTCACCTTTCTACTTTTCTTGTTTAAGAGTGAATAGACTTCCTCAGTTTCTTTGCATGTATATCAATATCAATATGGTAAATTTATTTTTTGACAGGTTCACTCAGAATCATATTTAAATAGCCTAAAGAGTAGCTTGAACGTTTCCATTATAGTGGAGGTAATTTGAAAGCAGATACAGTTGCTTCGTTTTGAGATTTTGTAATTGTGTTCTAGTTCCACTGTAGTTAATTATAATCTGTATTGATCGAAGATGACACCTATACCATAGACTGAGCTCACAATCTCACAATATCACTTCAATGGGTGATATTTTATTTATATTGTATGCTTCCATATTTTCAACAGGGGATTAGTTAGGCCTATGATGTTGTTCAGATGCATAACCATTAATCAATTTTGCTGCATTTTTCAGGTCCCTCCTGTTGCACTGCTGCCTAATTGTCTTGTACAGAAAAAAGTTCTTTATCCATTCCGCATGCAGGTGGAATCCTTGTTCACATTAATTTCTTCATATATTCTATTTGGTGCTTAAGATACTGAGCATGAAAACATTGCAGTGAACGTTAGATACTGTAATATCAAAAACATTGTAGTAAAAGTTGTGCATTGGTTAAAAACTTTAGGTATATTTGCTCCTTTCTCTATGGATGGCATCCTTGAAGGATGGAAATGGTTGACATCTTCTTGAACTGGAAGGGGTGTGGCTTTAGTACAATGAAATCCACCAAGTGCTCCTTTCTAACCTGGGGCCTTCAGGTATAAACTGGTTTTAGGAATTGGATTTGACCATATTAGCAATATATTTGGGTTCCGTTGGCTATAGGGAGAACATAAGAGATGAAAGGCTAGAACTCTTACAAGGAGAGTGTGCAGATTATTTAATTTCAAAAATGTATTGGTGGAAGGGGATTCAAAGGTATTAGTTGGCTGGTTGAGAGACAACAAGCAAAGACTATGGCAACATCAAGACAATATGAAGGAGATAAAATACTCAGAACAGGATCTAGATTCCATATTCTCTTGGATTCAAAGATCAGCAAATAGTTTGGATGATGCATTGGCCAAACAAGGGATGAACAGGGACCAATTGTTTTGGGCTCAACTTTAATGTGAATAGGAAGAATGGGTTAGATGGCTGTTTTCCAGCCTAGACCAACTTGTATATAATCCATTCTTTTTCTGATGTAAATGTAATAAAACTTAACAGTTACCAATAAAAAAAAGATGCTGAACATGGTTTAATGCAGGTCGGAGGGACTGTTTTGGCAGCAAAGCTTGCAAAAGAACGAGGATGGGCCATAAATCTTGGTGGAGGATTTCATCACTGCTCTGCAGAAAGCGGAGGTGGATTCTGTGTATATGCAGATATTTCTCTTTGCATTCATTATGCTTTTGTCCGATTGAATATTTCAAGGTACTCATAATTGATGCTGTATTGCTGTGGAAAAATACATAGCCTAGTCCATTTATATATTAGGCTGTAAAAAATGAGTTTCATTGTTTGTCTTCCAAGCATTGCTTTATTTTCTTTTTTTTTTTTTGTTTACACATATTTTTAGGGTGATGATCATTGATCTTGATGCACATCAAGGGAATGGACATGAAATGGACTTTGCCAATGACAGTATGGTTTCTTTGCCTTCATTTGTATTGGAACTAACATATCTTGTTTTAAAGGATTTGACTAAAGGCCTCTCGTATTTTTTCTTCTAGATTATTTATTACCTTCCCCTTATAGGATTGTTCTCTCCACCTTCCTGTGGATAACGGGCCTTGTGCTTATACTTCACTTTTATCTTTAATAAATTTGTAAATTTGTAGTTATTTACTCCTCAACCTCCCCCCCCCCAACCAAAAAAAAAAAAGAAAAGAAAATACTAATAGAATTTTTCCAACAGGTCGGGTTTATATTCTGGATATGTACAACCCTGAAATATATCCTCGTGTAAGAGATGCTTCTCATGAAAGTTCGATTTCTTGCAACTAATGAAACTGAAATATTTCTTGTTGTTTAGTTGCTGTTCATAATTGTAAACTTCACCCTTTCCATGCTTCCTTTGATGTCCATTCTCCAACCATGGAATTAGAATAAGTGATGAACATGGTGATCAAAATCGTACATGTAACTCTTTTTTTTCATTTTTTTCATTTTCCTTTTCTCAGGATTTTGTGGCAAGGAGACACATTAATCAGAGGGTTGAGATAGTGGTATATAACTTGCCTCATCCTTCTCTTATTGAACCAATGAGGTTACAATGTTTTTCCCTTGCTCTTTTCTTTAATTTTTCAAATTCTCTCTTTTTTTTTTCAGAGTGGGACCAGAACAGATGAATACTTAAAACAATTAGACAAGGCCCTTGAGGTATATATTTGATACCATACTTATGAAAAATTTATCTTACTATAAATCCTTTCCTTGTCACTTTTTTTCAACAAATGCCTTGCAAGGCAAAATGGGGGAACCAACGTAATGTGTTTACCTGATTAGTTTCTACATCATTCTCTACTTGTGCTTTCTCCCTTTTTCATTCAGAAAACCCAAACCTGTTGAACATCATCTTTGTCAATTAATGTTGATGCATCTACAAAGTGGTCATTATTCATGGCCTGTGCATCATTTATCTGCTAGTTGCCTGCCTTTTTCTGATTGGAGAGTTTCTGCATTAAGATTCAACAGTTTCTAAATCAAGTATTAGCACAAAGTTCATTTTATACTCTCTGCAATTGTTGAGATAGCATAGGTTTTTGCTTTATGATTTTGATGTCTTGTTATCTCAGTAGACTCTACCTGACAAAGTTGTTTGTCATAGCTTCTTTCTTTCTTTTTTTTTCACCAAACACTATCTAAGAAGATTTGGTGGTGATTTAAAAAAAAAATAAAAGATAAAAAAGGAAAATTGAAAAGAAAAGAGAGCAAAGAAATAGGAAATAGCAGGACAGTGGGTGAAGTATTATAGCTAAATCCATGTCCATGGTTTGGAGTCTCACCAAACCCAAGAAAACAATGGTATTCAATCACCAAAGACAATAGTTTCTCGTTTCATGAAACAGCAAACAGGTTTAGGAGAATTTCAAACTTCCATTAAGAGGAATTGAAGAAAAAACTTGACACGCTTATTATAGAGTTATTCAAGAGTCCTTTCAAGGAAAAAACTCTAACTTGCATTATATGTAATCCCTTTTAAGAGAAGATTCTGGAAGAATAGATTTCAGTCATAGTTGTCATGGAAATACCTAGGTGAGCACATAGGCAAGTAGGTGGTTTTGGGGGATTACCTAATTGCATCACCTCAATGATTTTAGAAAAGGCACTTGCTCAGCCCATTAGATGCATGCCTACTGCCTATGTGGTGTCTAAAGATGCTATGCGGACTTAGTTGTCCAAGCGCTTTCATTTCCCATAATTATCATTTCAAAGAACTGGATATCTGACTTTACGCTTAGCATTTGGGGAAAATTTTAGGCATGTTCTTTCTCTACCCTTCATCTCTAAGTACTTTTTGCCATGGTTATTTTTTGTAGAATAAGGAAAGGTTCAACTTTGATAGTTGCTTTAAGAGTAAGGCACCCATAGAATTAGGGCTGGGTGAACAAGAAAACGAAAAAAAAAACATGTATAATCCCACCAGAAAAACAAAAAATATATATATTTTTTTCTGATACAATATTGTGTGCATATAATGAGATACTGATTTTTTACATTTCCAGTCATTCTGTGGCATGGTGAATCTTGATTTGTTAGATAAATTTTTTATCAACAGCGTAATGATATTTAGGTGCCTAGGTAATGTATTGTTTCCTCTATTCAACTGCTCAAGTGTCTCCCTTATTCTATTTTCTGTATTTGATCCTATTCATCTTTATGTTGTCGTTTGCGTTCTATTCTTATAAACATTTTCAAGTTCTATTTGTGCCGGCTCACTTAAATTGCTTTAAGATCATCAAAACTAGTTTCATTTAGTAACACAGTCACATCATATGCATTATATGGAATGGTTTGACAAAACCAATTTCCTTCTAGAAGGTTTGCATAATTAATGCATGAATGTGATTCATGGTTGAGGATTTTATCTAGCTTAGCATCAAAAGTAATCATGTTGAGCATTACTTATTTTTTCCTCAAGTTCTCTTATCATTCCATAAAAAAGAATCTTGTTGTGAGTTCTCATTGAAGGTTATGCTCTTTTTGTCCTTAACTAACTGGAAAAAAAAAAACATTTGTGAAATTGGGAACTGCACTTGGAGAAATTTTCTTTGTTTACAAATTACTTTGCTCAAAATTGTTGTTATATAGTGTGAACTTACACAACTTTTAATGTCAACCCTAGGTTGCTGGGCATATGTTTGACCCTGAGTTGGTGGTATACAATGCTGGCACAGATATCCTAGATGGAGATCCTTTAGGCCTGTTGAAGGTAATTCTGCCTTTGGGTTTGATTTGTTCATTGAGTATATATGCCTACCTATATTTGCCCTGTCCTTGTCACTGCTTACATGAGAAATAAGTCCTCATCCTGATCGTGCATGACATGGATTTTTTTTGCTTTTGCTTTCAATTATATTGGTTAAGAGTTTCTTCTAAACTTAAAAGCAGGATTTATGTACTGTAGCCACTCTAGAGGTGTCAGGGGGTCGAATGTACATGTATTCAGATCTGAACATTAGTACATGCACAAAGGATAATGGGAACTCCAAGCTCACAAATAACCGGTACTGGAAGCTTTTATGGAAATTGACTATTTCTTATAGAAAAAACACTAAAATGTAAAATTCATTTTACACATACAATTAAAAGTAACAGGGGACAAGGGACTTATTTACCCTTATATACAATTCAACAACATAAATGTATTTATACAAGTACGTTCCATACCCTATTAATTGGATGAAAATTTGGAACCCACTCAGATGTAAATCAGTCCTCTAATATCAAGATTAAATTTAGTGATTAGCAGAATAGAACAGATCTGAATAACTGTATAAGAGAGGAAGATGGCGAAGAGAAGAGGTAAGAGAAGAAGAAGTCGAATTAATCACCCTTCTCCTCTAACCCTATTTTTTATTAATCTCTACAA